CACTTTTCATTTGTTCGATCAAACGGCTTGTGTTGCTAGTCCTTTGTTGTCTTCTGTGGAGATAAGCTTCTGTCAAGACTTACAATATACTTTTTCTATACTTTTACAAGATAGGAATAATGGAGCTAACATCCAGTGAATGTCCTAAATCACCCAAGTGTTAATCGGATTTGAGATAAATCACTCATGCTATGTCCGATTTACCCTCTTTGTATCATAAGTAATTGTCTAGATTTCATATCCGGACAAGGATGACCGGACTTCAAATCCGGCTAAAGTTACTTGATTTTCATTATCATTTTTGGTTTGATTTTGAAATGGTGGTGTAACCACGAGAGAGATGAAATGACGGTGTAACCGCGAGAGAGATGAAATGGCGGTATGACCGCAAGAGAGATGAAATGGCGGTGTAACCACGAGAAAGAAAGGATATGTGATAAATATAAATAAAATGCTTGTGTCTCTACAGGTTTGATTCTAGACTGATAGTTTAGAAAGTATGTTATTTGTATGAGATATGTACACTCACTAGAACTTTTGGGTCTAATGCTTAGTTGTTGGACTAACCTGTTTTGCAGGTCATCATACCTTGCAAGATAAAGGCAAGGGGAAGATTTAAATATTGATGAAATTTAGTTCCTCGTCAATGTATTCAAGAAAGTTTTTTGTTAGCCCGTGTTTTGTAAACAATACTAGATTTTGTTTTATGAGTATGTATGTGGATTATCTATACGTGGAAATTGTGGGTTGTTATAGTTGGTATCAGAACCTTAGTTTAAGGGATCTGGGTATTTGCGAAATACTTAGATTTAAACTAGAGGTATAGAAGTTATGATAATAGGTTTTAGTGGGACTATGAACATGGGGAATATGTTATAGTTGAACCTATTATGAGAAAGATAGATTATATATGATTGATATAATCTGAGTTGTGGATAGACATGGGGATAAATGTGTTATCATATTTTAACTATGTAAATAATCGTATGTGTTTAAATGTGACAGAAAGAGACGTACACTAAGGTGCAGAAAGGACCACTATCGGTTATGAAAGAGGTCAGGGAAGAAGAAACGTAACACAAGGAGAGGACCCAGAACATGTAATGACAGTAGAAACACAAAGTCGCAGCAGGGGTCGAGGAACAGGTAGAGCTATTAGACAAGAACAGGAATTGTCGGCCCAAGAAAGCTCAATGTCTGGCCGTGGTAGAGAAAGGGCAAGGGTGGACACAATGTTTCTGACCCCGAATTTATTACTTAAGAAATGTTGGCAGCTGAGTTAGGAAAATTCCAAGAGAGCTTGGTAAATTTGTTGGGACGTTCAGTTCTGAATAATCCAGAAATTTTAAGGGAACCTGCACAGCAAGAGGAAGCCGGAGCTAGTACCCCGGTAACTGGTACATCTATACCCCTTACTTCATCTTCAGTTCAGAAAGGAGGAGATATCAATATGTTTCTTGCCTGTAAACCTCCTAAATTTTCTGGTGAACGCGACCCTGTTAAAGACATGTGTTGGCTTAAAGAGATAGAGTTGAGTCTGCAAATCAGTAAAAGTGCAGAAGAGGACAAAGTCATGTTTGTTGTATCTCGTCTGAGATCAAGTGCTTTGTACTAGTGGGAAGTTTTGTCAAGTTCAGATCCGAACATTTTGAAAACCATGCTGTGGGAAGAATTCGTGGTTAAGTTTAAAATGCAGTATTGTCCTGAAGCAGCAGTACGAAAGTTAGAAGATGATTTCCTTCGTTTGGACAAGGAAACATGTCAGTCCGCCAATGCACGGAAGTTTTTATGGAACAATCCCGGTTCGATGAACCTTACATAATATCGGAAAATAGTAAAGTGAGAAAGTATATCTGGGGTTTGGAGTCAAATCTTTGGAAGTATGTGATATCCAGGAATTCGATAACGTTTCAAGTAGCAGTTGATGCCACTAAAATTCTGGAGCAAGATATTAACCGACAACCACAAGAAAGGGTTGGAGATAAAAGAATAGGGGAGGTTACAATGACTGATTTCCGTAGACCAAGGTTTATGGAAAGTTTGAATCGACCAGTCCCCAGGTTTGTTGATAAGGCATGCACACGATGCCATAAAATACATCAGAGAAACTGCATTACAGAGTCGCGGGTATGTTTCAAATGTCAGGAACCAGGACATATAGCTCGAGACTGTCGAATGACACAGATATGTTTTACTTGTAATTCATCTCAACATGTAAACGCTAATTGTCTGCAAGCGAAGGGACGAGGTTCTGGTTTTGCTGGAGGTCGGGGATTTGGATATTCTGGGGGCCGAGGATCTGGTTATGTGCCAATAGGTCGTGGACAAATGGATAATCGTGTGAATTCAAGTGGTCGAGGAGAGATAAGACGTGGGGAGTCTGCAAGAGGGAGAGCCTTTCAGATGATGAGAGGCGAGGCAAAAGAGCACCCTGAAGTGGTAACAGGTACATTCCTTGTTAATTCAATATGTGCCAAACTTTTATTTGACTCGGGTGCAAATCGTTCTTTTGAGTCACCATTGTTTGTTAACTACGCACATTTAAATCTAAAGCGTTGAGTGAGGATCTAATTGTGGAAACAGCAAATGATAGTGAAGTTTTGGTTAAGGATAGAATAGATGAATGCTTTATAAGTATAGAAGGATGTGAGGTGCCTATACAATTATTTCCTTTGCCTTTAAGGGAATTTGATATAATTATAGGCATGGATTGGTTAGCTAAAAACCAAGCTAATATGGCCTGTGATGAAAAGATGATTCATATAGACTTACCGAAAAAAAGAAAGGTTGTGATTTACGGGGATCGACGAGATCGTTACTCTAGCCTTATCTTGGTTTTAAAGGCTTGAAAGTATGTACAGAAGGGATGTGTTAGTTTTCTTGCATATGCTATTGATATGAAGAAAGAAAAGGGAAAGATGGAGGATAATCCAGTTGTAAGAGAATTTCCTGAGGTATTTCTAGAAGATTTGATAAGTCTACCTCCGGATCAAACGATAGAATTTCAGATTGAATTATTTCCTGGAGCAGCATCCGTTGCTCGTGCACCGTATAGATTAGCTCCTTCTGAGTTAAAGGAGTTAATGTCGCAATTAAAAGAATTGTTGGATAAAGGTTTTATCCGACCAAGTACTTCCCGTGGGGTGCGCCGGCGCTTTTTGTGAAAAAGAAGGATGGATCAATGAGGATGTGCATTGATTACCGGGAGTTGAATAAACTGACAATCAAGAATAAGTATCCTTTCCCAAGAATTGATGATTTGTTTGATCAATTGGTTGGGACTACTTATTTTTCAAAAATTGATTTACGGTCCGGTTATCATCAATTGAGGATTCGGAATGAAGATGTGTCAAAAACGACATTTCGTACACATTATGGTCATTATGAATTTCTGGTTATACCATTTGGTGTAACATCCATCCTCCTAATACGCTTAATTATGTGTTGAAAACATCTACTTTTTGGGTATGGTTTTGAGCATTGGGCTTTAACAATGGAATCTT